TATAGAGATGTCGCCTACAAAGCTTCTAAATTTCCTGATTTTTGACGTCACCGATCAAAAGAAGCGAGGAGGCGAGAGGCGGGAAAATCAAACGCCAAAAATAAAAAGGCGCGCGCGCGCTCGGGAAAATTTTTTTTCGCGATGCGGTTTTTTTTGCGTGTCTATGACTGCAACTTGCATCGTTTTAGACAATAAAAATAAATACGACCTTTGGGGTGCCAGTGCCCCTTTGAGTTGTAGATTTAGACTAATAAACAGTTCGTATTGGGTTAAACCTTGCGGTTGTCATTTAACAACAGCCTGATCGGACGTCGAGATTTCAGCTGCTCGTCAGACCATGGCCAGGCGGTGGAATGGATCCTCAATCCTTTGGGGGGCGTGCTTGTTGGTTTAGATCGTGAAACTTCCAGAATTCTGTTCGCCTTGCAACGTCAAAATGTTGAAAAAGATTTTTCGTGTGAAGCCAGCCTCAAACAAATCAGTTTGCTACATTGTTACAGGTTTGTCACCCGTTTTTTTTTTTGTTTTTTTTTAATAGTGATTTAGAACTGTTGTGGAAAACACCAGTGCCCACCGCCGAGCACAGCACCTCATGTGGCAAGCACCAGCAAAAAGGTGCGAAAGAGGGTTAGCAGATAAGGCCCACCATGTAATAGATGCCACGAGCCCGACAACCCACAGGACCACGTATTGTATGCAATGAATCAGTTGTCGTCGTTAACCTGTCTCGACCACGACATGCCGGCAGCGGTGGGATCGAGTGTTGCCCATGAGAAGAACAAAGGCTATATCAGAATCATAGGAGACGAGTGAACATTGCAGTATGCGCTCCTGCTATTTGTATTGCAGCCAAAAACAGCTTGTCAGCTACCCTTGAATAGACCCTTTTCAAAAGTGTGCACCAGCTATACTATGTTCACCCTGCCGGACCAATCAGCTGCCTCCCTCTTATCCCCCAGTGATGTGATTGCTGCGCCAATTGTGCCAAACTGTGCCTAAGAGCTTATTCTGCTACACTTGCTACATTTGATCAAAATGTGAGGAATTTGCACCAACATTGCACCAGAAGTTAAGTTCAATTAAATAATACTGAAAATATAACAGCTGCAGGCCTCGCTGCCGGGGCGAATCATTAGTGTAGGCTCGTGCAGGTTTTCAGGACTTTCGATAATCGTCTCAAATAACATACTATTCGATTTGATTTCGCACCAAGCACTGACAGTGCTCAGAAGTTTCACAACAAGTCTCGTGTTCGTGGTCTGTTCTGGTGAGTTAGTTAGCTTTGTTGAAGGAGCTCCTCACCGCGTGGTGTAATGCAGTGGAGCAAGAATTGCAAATTAGGCGTCGCTATGTTGCGTGTCTTGCTTCGCCGCAGCACACCCGCGTACCAAGGGGAAAGGTACTCCTCCAGAGCGAGACGGGGTGCAAGAAGGTATATATGGACTCTTGTAGGCTTATTTTTTATGGTTCTCTTTTTGTCTGAATTAAGAGTTGCAGTTTTGTTACAACCCCCCTTAGAACTTGAAGGACACATAAATCTAGGTGCTCAAAATGATTGTATTTTAACATTTTTTCAGTGGGATTTCGTACCTAAAATAATCATCCACTGCAGTTTGTGCTGTTCTTCATCAGTCGTCGTCTTGTTGCCGTGTCTGGTGCTTCCACAAGCAACTAAACAGCTGGTGTTTGTTCTCCTAATATTTGCCATCTCTCCTCACATTTGCAGGGATATAAATGATAATGAAGTGTGCAGTTGTGCTCCAAGAGCTCTTTTTGCTCCTCCAAAATGAACTTTTGGCTGCTCAAACAGCTGCTCCAAAATGGCTATGATCAATCACATCACTGCTTTTATCACCTGACCCAACTCTTTGCGGGTGGGTATGGCCGGGGGTGTGATGATGCGGCAAAAGAGAGGCGTATGACTAATCTAACGAGGACGTAGCTTCCACCACAGTCTCAGCTGCAGCACCAATTATCGAAGTCTGCCATAATTTGGGCACACACTGTGGCTGATGTTGCTTGATGTTACAAAGAAAATTGCCTCATTTCAATTAAGCTTATGCGAAATTGCTTGGTAGTCTGACAACTCTGACAGCCTCACTGTTTTAATGTTAGCAAGCGTTGTCGGTACTGAAGCACGGTGGAGGGCAGTGTTTGATGGCGCGGCAGCTGTGTTTTCCGCATTCTGACCATGGAACGGGGATGAACAGTTTAAACAACCTACCGCAACTGTCTGATGAAACTTTCGGAGGCCTGTGCACACGCTGGCGACAACCCGCAGTATGTAGGCTTGTACAGCAAAGGCGAAGGACTTGCTCCGCTGCTTCGACGAGGTTGTTGCCAGCGTGCACAGACCTCCTAGAGCTTCATCAGACAGTTGCGGTAGGTTGTTTAAACCAGGGTGTCGAACCGTAACCGAACCGAAACAAAAACCGGAACAGAACCGTTATTTTTAGCCGAACCGGAACTGAACCGAACCGAAATCTTCGCCGCCATCTTGGAACTGAACCGGAACCGAACCGAAAAAAATATAACGGTAACCGGTTCAAAACGGTTCAAGGTAATATATTTTTTTTCTTTGCTAGTATCACAAAATGAACATATGGGAATAAACAATTGGCGGCTGTATTTCTATCTGTTGATCGAATCGTCATATACATAATTGCAACGTATGATAAATTGTGGGTTTTCATGGCACCTTTGTTGGCACTATGATTAACCATGTGTCAAGTTGTCACGTGACGTCATGGTGTCAATACATGTTGCCAAGTAATGTCACGTGGCCTCGTGGCGTCGCGTAACTCACTGCGTTATATCGATTTAATTTGAGGAAGTAACTAGATGTATTAACCTTGTTGACAGCATGACGTAACATGACATCACGATTTCGCTCCGAGAGTCAAGTGACACCGTGACGTAAGCGATTTTCATAACCCCTAGTCGAGTGCTCGGGTTCATGACAATCAGCAAGGCCAAACATTCAGGTAACGGCTCATGTCAATTAGATATGATAATCAATAGCCCAACACTAACAATATCTGAAGCTCAGCCCAAGCTTTTGCTTTGCAAACCCTTGCAGCCTAGGGCATGACGGTGATGAACACTGGCGGTATATAATTAGGGTCAGATCACGTGGCCGCTTGTTCAAATTGCGAGTTGAGGAGATATCGACAGCTGTCTGTGTACTTTATTTTTTCTGCATCTGTTATTAGGGGAAAACTAATGGATATTTCCGCAACCTATCAACGTTACGGGTTATTTTTTAACACTATTTATTGAAAGTACAAAAAAAAATGCCGCAAGACCAATTTTACATTATTGAGGCATTGAAACATTTTTTCGTTGTCGCTGAAGTATATCTGAAAGATGTCCCTGAGAATAGAAGTTTTGAAATGACTAAATAAAATGACGATGTTCAATATGTTCCTAACTTAGGAACCTAAAATTAGAAGGAAAAAAAAACAGTTAAAACGTGTACCATTCAAAGCTTTACTAAGAAAACGTATCAGAATTGGTACAAAAATTGTGCCATCAATTACGACCCACTGTATCGAAAATGATACGCAGAAATTTGGAGCAATGTTACTAAGCGGACAGGACTCAAAAACAACAGCGAACGGAATAATGTGGTTGCGCAACACTTTCTGAGCAAAAAAAAAAAAAAAAAAAGTGCCGAATATAGGACGGCTTATTGTTTTTCGAGTAAAATGACACCGACGGTATGCCTTCGAGCCCTTCGAGCGAGCTGCTGCGTGCGGCCATCTTGCTCTAGCTGTCAGCGGCAGCCTGGCGGGGCCTTGCTGAACTACCCAAATCGGAAAACTCTGTCAGCGTATCAAAACCGATACTGCAGGCTTTGGTCTTAGAAATAGAGTTATTACAATAAGAACGCTATGGTCTCAGCTTTACGCAATTTATTGTCACTTTTTGAGTTATCAAACTCCACGTAGCAAATATGATACGCTGAGCTTTGTGGGGTATTTAACAACACAAGACTAAGAATTATGTTACCTTTAGCCGATTACTGACTAGGAATGCAGATAATATTGTAACCTTTGCTGCTATTTCACGCGCGGAACGAGCATGAGGCGACATGGCATTAGTAAGCTTATCACTGCGTGAATATGAAACCGAAACTGATCGGGAGCATGCCATGTGGTGTTACTTTAGCCGATTACTTTCATATCATGTTGCCTTTCGAAGCGTTAGATTAAGAGAGGTGTCTAGCCGGCCAATCTAAATACTCAGAACAACTGTATACTAATAATACTTGCAGATACTTTTTGTATTCATCAACTAAACAGCGGCAGTCACTTGCCTAATCCTTGTCAGAACCGGGTAGGGCATATATACAAATCGGGTCGGTAGGGTGGTCAGAGTAGAGAGTCGCGGTGCTGTTGTGTTGCAGTTGCTTGTGCCTTGTACTGTTCATATGTATATGCCCGTAAAAGCGTTCGGTATTGTGGTTGGTGTGTGTTGGCGCATGAGTTGTCATAGGTGCAGTACACATCGCGACACTGTTAGCGCGAACACGACATCGGAGCATTTTCGCATTGTACTTGTAAATAGCATTTGCGAGTACAAAAGTTTATAGCTTATATTATAGAACTAAATGAGCTCTTTCCCTAGCAATAATAACTTGGATGACATCCCTTGGTTTCAAAGAGAAAAACCGGCGATCGCTTGTTCGCGCTAACAGTGTCGCGCTCTGTACGTACGTAGTTCAAATGATCCGATTAAAAAAGGGGTCAAACTAACGAAAGCTTACTTTAACCAATATGCACGAAGCAGCATTCCACGAAAAAAAGATCTCACCACTAAATACATCGGTTTTGCCTCCTCTTTAAATTTTTTATAGACACATTTATACAACATTGATGTCAGGGTGACGTGGAAAGCCTGGGGTGACAACATAGTGAACCAGGACATAAAGCCAAGGGTTGCTGTGAAGAACCTGGTCATTGCTCTGTGAAAGGGCAGTGTCCTTCGGCAGAGGACTCTGACCGAAGTGGTGTCGAGAGTCAGTCCTTACAAGGACAGCAGGTCGGCTTTGACGTCCGAGGAGGGTTCACTGAAGCAGGGGTCCCAAGAAGGTGTCCTAAGAGGCAAGTGAAAATTATCTCAGGTAATCGTAACCTAAGCAGTTATTTGAAAAATCTTCTCAATCAAGTCATTATCTTCACAGCTAGTTGGTATTATACTGGGAGTTCACAATGTTTCGGCGGTCTTTGGAAGGACCGCGTAAAACTGACTGGATTGAGCACACAGGTGTTACATAATGGTGAAATCTTTCAGTAAAGTTATGGGAAGATTAGGTAACCTCAGTAAAACACAAAAGCTTTATTTTTTTATACTTTACATGCAAACACCATTTTTTTTTGTGCCACTGGCCTTTATTTTGGCTGTAAGAAGTGAGAAATGCGTAGGGCATATCCTTTTTATTCCGGTCATTTGCAGTTGCAATACATGCCACAGTAACCCTTAATGATATCTGATGTCTTCACCAAAAAAAAAAAGGGCTATGCGAAATTTTTTTATTGTAGGAAAAACAATTCTCTTTTTTCTTCTTCTTTATGTCCTGGTCTTTGAAATGCTGAAGCCACCGCTTTCAGGCATGCCCTTGTAATAAATAAATCATAGCTCAATATGCCCATTTATCTGGTCTCTTCGATGTGCACATGGAACAATGTGAAATCCCAGTACGTATTGTGAAAAAGCCACCTTGCAGAGCGAAACAGCGCTCTTGGCAGTTTGATCTATCGGGGGACGCTTCAATGTAACCAGATTTTTTGCTATGCATTTTTATTGCAACTACTAGTCTGTTCTCAAAGAGTTTGATAGAAGAGATAGTTCTATATAATCGGGTTGGACATTATACAGGGTGTGCCATTTTAATTCGAACATAATTTTTTTAGAAAAGGGGGCGAGAGTTACGTGGATGCCTTTTTCACTGTGTATTTGTGGGGCTCGGCGGACATAGATAAGGGGATAACACTCACAATATTTTGACTAATTAACCAAGATTTGGTAATTAACTTTTTAATTATTGATTTTATAGGGCATGTCGCAATTGCAATTTTAAAGTGCGTCATTATTAAAGGTTATTCCTAATGAAACTGTTCATGACGGTGATGTGGCATGTGATTTAAATGAACATTTGTTTAAGCCTTACGTCTACAAGCTGTGCTCCTTTAAATATTTCGTCATTGCATATTTTTCAGAATGCCTAGTGATGAAGCTCCGTGGCCAAAAACATCATGCGGATGTCATCGGTCTAATGTCGACGACAGCAAAAGTGTACTACATACCGTGAGAAAAAATAAATGACCGGCGAAAGCGAGAGAAATGAAGAGCCAAGCAGTAAATAAAGATAGAACCAGCCGGCTCTTGGCCATAATCTGCAGTGAAATACTGTGTCAAGCATGCATTCCCCCACAGGATCCCACACAGATTGCCCACATAGCATGGGGTTATGAAACCCCATGGGTTACCCACACCACTCCCACAGGACTCTGGTCCTACACAGCTCCAATAGGATCTCTGCAGGACCTACACAGCTCCCATAGACTTACACAGACTGTGTGGGGCTCAGTCTTGGGTAAGTTATTTTTAAAAAGTAATTCGTTACAGTTACTTTCAGAAAAAAGTAGCGAAGCTACCGTTGCAGTTACCGCAACAAAAGAGTAATTTGTTACAGTTACAGTTACTTTTAAGAAGTAACGACGTTACTTTTCAGTTACTTTTCTATAACACCAAAAAATAGGAAAAACTAGTTAACGCCCCTCACCAAGCTTTATTGCATAAAATAAACAGTACGTTTTTACTTCATATTGTAACTTAGCAGAAGTTGCGTCTCAAAAGTAGTGTTTGTAAGTTTCCACGCCCGAGTTGTGGCGCAAATCAAAATACGAAACATGCGCAGTGTGGAGTTCAGGCGCTAATCAAAATACGAAACATGTGCAGTGCCCTCCGCGTGTATTGTTGTTTCACGGTTGATTCACCCGATTAAAAAGCGTTTTCACACAAAAAAGAAAAACCACAGAATAAATAGTGCTTCAAGACACTAAGATGTAAGTGTTCAGTCACAAAGTACAAGCGCGTGCGTGAATATAACTAGATTTTTTTCATGATATCTACACGTGGCTATTTTCGGGTCGTGATTCGTGAGAAAGAACGTATTCACAAGTTTGTGCAAGGCCAACGTGACACTCGAAATGTCGGAATAGACGATTTTAAAAGTGCAAGGAAAATCTAAATTGTACTCCAATCAGTGATATATATTATTCATTAAACACTGGAAAGTAACGACAAAAGTAACGTCGTTACTTTCATCGTTACCTCAGAAAAAAGTAATAGAACTACAGTTTCAAGTTACATTTTAAAAAAGTAACTCGTTACAGTTACAAGTTACCAAAAAAGTAACGAAATTACAGTAACGCGTCACTAGTAACGCGTTACTACCTAAAAGTGGTGGGGACCCATGGGAACCTATACACCCACACAAACTCTGTGGGGACCCACACACCCAAACGAACTGTGCGGCGACCCATAGCAACCCGAACACCCGCACAATTTCTGTACACCCACAGGGTTTCATAACCCCATGGGTCTGTGTGTTTTTGGAGCAGGGCAAAAACTATAGAGCATGGGTTTGATTTTTAGAATGTTTCTATTTACGACGTATCACACATTTTTTATCAGTTTAGAAAAATTGAGTTCAGTTCAGGTGCTCATATCATATAGCTTCTTTGACACAGTTCAGTTGCTTGTACCGTATATAAAGTATGCCACGGATTTAAGCAACGGCGATGACGCTTACCGCATTCCATTTCACAGTCGTCCGAAGATTCAAAGCAGTTCTGTGAAGGACTACAGCTCCCTGACGTCATAACTGCTTCGCAGTGATTGAATCGGGGATTAAAAGTCCATCCGGGTATAACGTTTCCTCCTCTGCCATTTCCATAACCACCATTGTACCGGGGTTCACATTTCGCTTCTGCTGTTGTCAAGAGCCCTGTAACATCAACCATATATGAGATTAACTAGCTTTAATTATAGATACGTAGACATAAAAAACACATTACTGAAACGAACCGTCATAAGCCCCGTCGTTCTTAACGTAATAGAAACTTACATGTTCAGAAACGCAGGATGTGGCGAGTTCCTATAGCATCCGATTATCGCTCCGCAACCATTGAGATTGCGACATTCGGCGGATTATATGCCGAAAAACAAACTGTGAAGCAAAAAGCGTGAACATAATGGAACAGAAAGTCAGGCTGCAAACAAGCTAATGAAGGTTAGACATCGAGCCAAACGCAACACGAGTCCAGTCTGAGACTTTGTTTGCATGGGCGCTTGTGTGTTTGTGTGCGTGCGTGCGCGTATATGTGTGTGATTGTGTGTTGTGTGTGCGTGTGGTCTTTTGATTTCTGAATTCTCAGGGTTGTGTTACTTATAACATAATATGCCACATTCGGCGTTTCTTGAGCTGTCTGATTCTGCGCCGAGAAGCTGATGGAGAGGAAAGGGCGAGAGCGTGCGGGTAAGTGAGAGCGCCGAGCTCTGACTGGAATGATTAGTGGGTAGACGCAAAACTAGCTGCCTTCAACTGTACCAACGTTACTAAAACACTCAGTTGGGAAACTCCCATAGAGACAGCCCTAAAAATATGGCCCCAATCTGTCTCCGAGCACCGAGCTAATGACGAACACAACGCCACCATTTCTCCCGCAGCGGCCACTCGAGAAACTGCACGTGACTTCTATTTTTGGCTTTGACAGGGGTGAACCTCCGTCTCCCCGGCGGACGCGCCGCGTTGAACTACTGAAGTTAAAATGCACCTAGGTCGGGACGCGCTACCTGAAAGGCCCGCTGAGGCATGGTTTTATAAAAACAATATTAATTGTTCCGCAAAACCTTGCGAACTAAAGATGATAAAAACATAACGCGCCCATCATTTGGTACTAAACTCCAATAAATTTCATACAAAAAGAGTCTTTTCCATTTGTTTTTACGCAAAAAACAGACTTTCAAAAAGCTCAAGGTGACCACAGTACAGACAAATCATAAAGCGTGGCGCTGTTGTCGCATTTAGCTCGGTCTCGGTGGACGCCAGCGGCCCAGGTTTCGACGGCGAGTTTCCCAACTGAGTGTTTTAGTAACGTTGATCTGTACTCATACTCTGAACGCGTTGGATTGCCGAACGCCGGCGTCTTGCGTTCCGCGTTCGCGTTCCAACATGTTCGAAAAATCAATATGCACAAAGGGAGCTAGCATTACGTCTACCCCCTAATCATTCCAGTCAGACGCCGGCGTTCTGACGTCTTCACGTGCTCTCGTCTCCCCTACTCCCTCAATTTCTCTGCGCATAGCTCCTCGACGCATCCGACGCATAGCCCTCCGCATTTAGAGCACTGATACGTACGACGGAGCAAATATATCACGTGGTTTTAACAGGCTCGTGATTGGACCTGGTGGCCTGTAGCATTGGGCTTAAGTCCATCCAGGATGAGACGGAGTAGAATAACCTTTTTTCAGTATTTTTTTTTATAACATCTTTTGCATTCGTTGGGGACGATTATGAACTCTGCGTCCTGGCAGGTCTTCATCCCAAACTTCAATAATGCAAACTGAAGGTTTTTTTGTTATTTTTTGGCAAAGCACGGTGAAGTTGTTTATTTTTAACTTACAAATGCTTTAAATTTCCATACATTTTTCTGTCGTTAATTGAGTTTTAGAAAACATTCTTCTCTCATTTTGTTGGATAACAATCAAAGGCACCATTGTAGTTTTGGTTTCCTCCCTTGAGATAAACTTACTAGTTCTCTATCGTGATTATTGCAACTTTAAAAAAAAATCAAAGGCGGTCCTGTACCCATTTACTTTGATACACATCCTGGGGCTCTACACTCGCCAAACAAAAAGTTGTTGCCGAAAGCTTGCGGAGTGCTCCGATCGGACGCCGGCGACAAAGGCGCAGAATCATCGTCATGATAGTCTATTCATCCGTGAACTTCGGCCCTGACTTTGAGTTTGACGAGTTTAGGGCCCCTAAACTTTATAAGCTTAATAAAATCACCAGCGGCCCCACGTTTAATATTTTGATAATTATAATGAAGAAGTGAATGCTCCCAGTTAATAAAGTGTACATGACTAACTTTTTACAGGGTTCATGCAAACAGAAGTGTTGCATTCTGGAGGAGAGGCACACAATTTAAAAGACTAACTCAAATGAAGAAAATGAAAACCAACAATTATACGAAATAAAATTCGAAGAAGGAAAAAAGTCATAAAGATAAAGTAAATATCTGGATATATTTGGTAAACTTGGGATACAAAATGCACTGTCCTTTAAAGAAGAAACATGCTACGCGTATAGTTAAGGGGTGGGGACTAGGGAAATGATGCAAACATAGAATTACTTTTTTACATTTTTAAAAACATTTGCTTTTGCATATAGTCTGTTGCAGGATAAGATCTGCGAAAGAGGCGTGCGCTCCACTCATTGTCTTGATGCACATTTAAATTGGAGCTTTATTTTAATTTTATGTATTGTTCCAATCATATCTCTAGATCACCATATGAAAGGATCGTATGGAATCATTTGTGATTTTCCTTTTCAATTTACGATCTACAAGTCAATTTGATTTTCGGCCATGCTCGTTTGCCATACCATTCCTCTCTTTTGCCGCAGAGTCATATCAGAAGCATAGAAATCAGGCGCACTTCAGCCGAGAATTATTTGACTGCTGCGCATACTATGTGTATAGTATAGGATAATTGTGTGCAATCATCTAGATTGTAAAGTAATTTGAGCAAACACCTTGAGTTATGTTGTTTTGTATGGGTCTTATCTGAAATTTTGAGACATCGGTCATACAGGAAATAAAAAAATCTCAATAAGGAATATTGAAATGTTTGGCCCTGTACCATGCTTTTTTTTACATCTGAACCTTATGACGCTTTTGTGCCGAGGAAAGTATAGAGGTGCCATTTTTCTTTGCAATTCTGGGGTAGATCCTCACTCCAGCTCTAATGTTTTAACAAACTCTAGTCATCTTTATGGCAATAAAAATGAATTAAACAACTTTTATTCAAAGTCAACTTGTTCGTTTAGTTGCAGGGTGATTTTTATAAAATATAATGTTGTAAATGTGATTGTGTACGTCGGTCAACGTAAAAGGGCAGAAACGACGTAAAAAACGACATTTGTCGTGACAAAGATTTGTGTATGGCACTGTAATGCTACAACATTCAGTTAGAATGCTTGACGATATAAATGGTTCAATTATAGAATACGCTTAAAAGTCAGAGTGTATTATGTCCTGAACAAGAAATGACCACACGCATTAATATCATGCTGGTCAAGTACATAGAAAAGAAAAAAAGACGAGGAAAAAGTGGATAGTAAACAAAACAAGTTACAAGAACCAACTAATCTTCATCGCTGCTATGATCCAACATCAAATGTTACAAGAGTAATGGTTGACAAAAATTACATAGTTCTTCCTTTCATTCGACAAATTCTACATTCAAAATAATGCCCAGCAGAACCGTAACAGCGGGGATGGAAATAGCCGCGCAAATCATCGTACCCACGCCAACACAGGTATTTGATTACAGATAAACCCACCGAATAAATAAATGACAAAAAACTATGTTTCTGAACTAGAAATTTCCATACGCTTCAGTATTAGGGTGATAAATTAAATATAAAAAAGGGGAAAATGGAAAATAAACAAATCAAGTTCCAAGAGCCTACTCATCCAGCTAGCTACTTTGATTCAACATCAAATGTTACAAGAGTAATGGCTCACAAAAAAATTGCAAGGTATTACCGATTATTTGGCACCCATTCCAGTTCGAAATTAAGGCCCAGTACAACCGCAGCCTCTGGGGAATGGTACAAGATGCACTACGTACCTGTTGTGTGAATAGAGATGACGACGGCAATCAGCAGGAGCTTCATCTCTTATCTTGATTCCTTCTTTATGGAATGGAGTTTCTGCGCAAACTGCTTCGTATTTGAGCGAATTGGTGATTTTATACCTTCGAGACATAGCGTAAGAATCACGTGGGCAATTGTAACAGTCTTCATTTCCGCCGTGATGACGAAAACTGTCAACTGTGATCATTGTTAAAACCCTTCAAGATATAAATGAAAAGTAAAAATAAAACATGAACAATACAACACAAACTTGCAAAGTGCAGCTGCGTTTGTTCGGTCCACCTGTGAACGGTAAAAAAAGCTCACAAAATAAATTAGATACTATCAAGGCTACTTTTTACTTCCGGTTTCTAAGTATTTGTTGCCCGAACGTGTACATATCTAAATACTATATGTTATACTTCAAAATTTAAACGCAGCGAACGTAGCGTTGTGCAAAATATGGGCCTTTAATTGGCCGGCTATGAGGGACGGTATATCTGCGATCAACTTTGTTATGCTCGACGTCGGAGTATAACAGAGCCTTAATACCACCTCGAAATCATGAGGGGGCCTTGTCTTCTATGTTGCATCGTCAGAGCTCGGCCCTTCGACGTCGCTGCGAGCTGCTATTTCTTCCTCACCCTCAGTGCCTCTCCGTGTGGTCAGTGACAAGATAAGAAGCGGAGGGTGCGGCAAATGTTCCTTGCAGCTCATTATCGCTCCATGGCCTACGAGATTCCGGCATTAACCAAAAAGGAGGTCGAACAACCAATCACGAAACAATACGCGGAAATGTAACAAGCCAAAAGGAGAGTGCTTATTCGGGATAGACCAGTGGCGCTCAGGTTTAAAGCAGGGCCCCTGGCGAGGAAAATCGGATATTTGTTTAGGTCGTTTTTCTGTCGTGCGCCGCGTTACATCCTTCCAAGCTCTGTGAAGTATACACCGCATGCAAGCGATTTGACGAGCGACGAGACGAGCGACGGTGACCCGCTCCTCTATCGCTCAGTCAGTCGCGCGACTAGGCACTAATTGCTTCGTAAATCGAAAGACCATTTTTGCTTAACGTTTGCTCCTCCAGCACCTTTATAACCACCATGGTACAGGGGTTTATATGCCACTTTTGCTGTTCCCAACAATCCTTGGGCCACAATTCAAAAATAATGTCTCCGTATGATACAAACCGTATCTATTCCGGACTTGGCTGAACTACAGCATGCCCTTACAAAAAATGTATATCTGGCCAGATCTGAAGTTTTCAGATATGGCGCATATTAAAAATTGGCCACATATAACCTGATATGGTATATCTGCCAGATATAGCCTCATTAATAATGCCGAATATAATCTGATATCCCTGGCCACGTATGAAAATCCCAGATCTGGCTATGTATGGAAATTCCAGATCTGGCCAGGCATATTAAAAGAAGCACACAAGCCTGAACTCAGCACTTTATATCTTTTTATTGTCTACAATTCTCGAAAAATGTGACTCCCCGAAGTGCCCCTACCCGCACTCGAGGAACCGTGGGAAGGGTATTCCTTCAGCTCCCTAGTGATCAGCAATTACAACCAATCCCATGGTTACACAGTTATGAGTTTAATTAGGAATCACATTGAGCAAGCATTCTACAGAGCCCAAAGACCTGTCATATCAATGCCAGCGCTTATGATACTGTGGCTGCGATCCACCTTTCAACATGACTGAGCCGCGAAAATCTGTTGCAATATTATACTCTTGTGATTGTTGTTTTAGTAGGAATCGCTTACAAATCCGAGAAATCAGAACAACCCAAACCAGGATTTAGCCCAAGGTCAGCGGGGCTGTCTATAACATTTTTAGATTTGCTACCTTATTATCAGCGTCTTTGAAACTGCGCCAGAATTGAAATAATGTAAGAGATGTCTGCAGCTCATACAGGTTGAAGGGTGGACAGCATGCACGGCATTGAAAACGCTCACAATGACGAGAAATCTTAATAATCATACGACGCTTGTTCAGGGCGACTCCGAATTACACTCAAAACTGTGTAACCATGGAATTTGTAGAAATTAACGATCACTAGGTAGCTGAAGGAACACTGCTGTTTTGATTTCTCGAGTATGGGGGCCAGGGCGCTTGGGGGATTTACCAAATGGTCTATTCGGACGAAATGTTAACTATTCAAAATAATTTAGCTACATTGAAATCCTCGGGAAATACAGCACGAATAATCCCAAACAAGCTTGCCAAAACTCAAGTTTAGGATAATTTGTGCTAATATTTAGCTCGAGAACAATGAGCCTTTACCGTTTGCTAACAAAGAATTTGATAAACTATCGTTTTATATATGAAAAACCGGCCGCCAGATAAACCTGTATATACGCCAAATTACGACGTATATATCTCAGATAAGGCTGTATATTTGCAAGATAAGGCTGCATATATCCAAAATAAAGCTGTATATACGTTAGATAAGGCTGTATATAGGCCGTATATAATCAATCATATAATGTTTGATATGGCCAAATATGCCCCAGATATATTTTATACGGGAAGACATGTAAAAAGAAAGTATTGAAACAAACCGTCATTCGCACAGTCATCCTCATTTTTTTGGTCACGTTTACAGGCTACAAGGCCTAGAGCGAGGCTATTCCCTAACATTCTATTATCGCTCCGCAACCATCGAGATTGCAGAATTGGGCAAATTGCATGCCGAAATACAAATCACGAAGTAAAACGTGAGAACGTAATTGGGTGCACCCAACGTTTCTCGTGATCTCGGTGATTACAGCTCTTTAACGCCTCCAGGCGGTTGGCTTAACGTCATGAGCCGCCTCGATATGGTGCATTCTGAAACCATATCTCGGTTAATGACCTTGCCCACTCGTCCTCGCGTATCCTCAGGGTATGCGGAGAGGAAGTTGTCCGCTCCTTGCTCAGGAGTTTTGGTGACGTCAGTACGACGCCGAGCTCTTATTGGCCGATTGAAAAACAAAGAAATAGTGGGAAGACCTCAATTCTGGATGCCTTGAGGTCTGCCCATTATTTTTTTCTATCAGCCAATCAGAACTCGGCGTTGTTCTGACATCACCGAAACTCCTGCGCAAGCAGCGAACGACTCGTTCTCCGTATAAAGGAGGATATTCGCAGAAAAACTCAGGGAAAGGAGAAAGCGAGAGCTCTGGAGAAGCGTTGGCTCAGGAAGGAATTATTAGTGGATAGGCCTGGAGTCACTGAATGTCCCCAAAGTACCTATACGCCCAAGTTTCGTTTCAGAACCGAGTCGCGATCCCCAATATGGTGCTGCCCTATGCGGTCGAAGCGTAGCGCCTACAGTGTAGCGTTCGTTCTCGTGTGAGCGCTTCAATACAAGTTCCTGGCCTGTCGTGACACTTTTCCTTTTATTGTTTGTTTTTGCGTGTCTTTGTCCTCGTTGTTTAGTCTCTTTCTCTCGCCTCAAAACATATTGAAGTCGAGTGTCTAGGGCATAGAGTTTGAAGCACAGCACCACCGCAACCGGCACAAGCAAACGAGCCGGCAATCTTCTTTAGTGAGCCAGATTAGCGGCTACTTGATATAAAAGAATCTAGAGAAAGTGAACGCACGAGCCCCAGTCGTGGTATAGCGGAAACGTTTTTATGCTTTCTTTTGTCGTTTTGGGCCGATCCGTTCAATGGCTCACTGATAACTTCCGCCACTGGCTAAACCAGCCAATCAAAACTAGATTCTGTGGAATTGACTTCAGGTAAGGGGACTGAAGGGAATTTGGTACTCTGGGAACATTCAGTGTCTCTAGATATATCTAAAGCTAGCTGCGCATTGCCTTATCCCAGACCATAGCCTCATCTAACCTGACAAAGCCTGGCAGATCGCCACAAGACGCGGCTGCCGAAAGTGAAAAGATAGAGCGGCAGACAACGGATGAGAGGAGAGTGATGTAACGGGCGGCCCGCTGAGGCGAAACGCCGAAACACATTTGTCCCGAGCTATGGAATGTCCGCTCGTGCTCCTCGCGTTCCTCGCGCTACCGCTCCTTTTCTCGTCGGGCTTGAAAACCATGTTTCGGGTCCTCGCCGCTGCAAAAGCTGCGCGCTGAGTATTAGGTTGCCCGAGAAGCGCGCTCTGTGCTACCAGATCCTCACGCTCCAAATCTGCGACCGGGCACTCTGTTGCTCCGTCGTCGAACTGCCAGGCTTTGCGAGTATAAAGGAGGCTATGCCCAGACGTGAAAACCCGTCGCGTCTTCTTTGCCATGGAATGACCCTCATTGAACGCATTCGGATTTGAAAGTCGAACCCCAGACGCCGGCGTTGTGCGTTCTAACCAATCTTATTGTTCTAACGCGTTCGACGAGCGCATTGGAAACAAAGGCAGCCAGCTTTAGGTCTAACTACTAATCATTTCTAACCAGAGCTCGGCATTCTAACGACCCCGCACGTCGTCTTCTTTCCCTGAGTTTTACCACGTATGCGCCGAAAAAGCGAAAGAGAGGAGGAGGAGAGTGCCCATACAAAAATGGTCTGTGGTCGTCTATGGAAAATGATATGGAAGGCTGTCACCCCCATGGCCCTCTATGGTCGGCAATGGAAATCCATAAAGACAGCTACAGTCAGCTATAGAAAAATCGATGGCCCTGATTCTAAAGACTGGGAACCAATATAATTTCTTTACCCGCCTATAGAAAATTCTATGGCTACAAGTCTAAAGATTGGGAACCAATAAATTGTCTTTAACAGTCTATAGAAAATTTTATGGCCCTGAGTCTAAAGGCTGGAAACCAATGAGTTGTCTGTACCTGTCTTTAGAAAAATTTACGGCCCCGAGTTTAAAGACTAAGAACAAATCCATTTTCTCTCCACGCCTATAGAAAATCACTTTCGACGCTTACTTTTTTAGTAAAAACACTCCAAGTTAGAAAATTAAATCAATAGTAAATTTCTGTAATGCCGGTGACAAGCCATGCTCTCTGCTGTTGCAAAGAGTCGTGAAAACCAGTAATATTGTTTGTTTGAAAAATCCATTAAAATACTTGTGCAACAATTAAAATTAATTA